CTGCTGAGCCTCTGCTTCTCCTCCACTACGGGCAAGCTATGCGAGGGCAACTGTTAGCAGCACAGCAGCCTGTATGGTGTAAAGGTAAAGCTTATGAAGGAAGGATGAACAGACAGTGGTAAGGAAGCGCAGCTGATAGTGCCAACATATGTTCGCATAAAGGACTGTCAGCAGTTGAGGCTTAATTTAAACACTGAGTTGTGTTGTTCCCATAAAATCTGATAGCTGCAAACCCTGCTGGAGATTTACATGCAGAGGGAGTATTCTTCCAGAATATATTAAAAGAGCATGTTCTATTATTGGTAGTGAAAAATATGTTACATAAAGCCTATGAAGTATTTTTATAGATTCCATTTCACCTCATGCTCTTTTATTCTACCCTTTTTTTTGTTTACAGTCTCAGCAACTCACAAAGAAACGAAGCAGTTCTTTACTCTTTATAATACACTGGATGATAAGAAAGTATATTTGGAAAAGGAGGTAAGAAAATGTTATTACTGTTTTGCAAATATTCAGTCTGTGTAGAAGGAGATAAAGAGTTTTTACTTGGCTTTCACCATATTCAGTCCTGTCGTAACCAAGTTAACAGTCCTTGTAAGTAGAAATGAACCAACTGATTCTTAAAAATATTTCTAATGTTGAGGGGGAAATGGTCTGTGTTGTAAAAGAGGTACTATTAGTACAGCATATTTAAACCAGTCACTGTGTTCACAAAACATCAGTAACATTTCCTTAGCAAATATCTCTGTCTTGGTATCACAGGACCAAATTACCCTCTTTTTCTCTTTTTGATCAATATCTTTTATTACGAACCAATGCTACAGTCGGTAGCTTTGGAGAGCAAATGCCAGCTGCTGTCAGCAGTATCTGATTTAGTTCTCAGGGTCTGAGCCTGCCTACACTGAAGTCACTGGTGATTTTACTGGTTCGGGATCAGAAGAGTAGTTTTCATGAAAGTGACTTGTTTTTTTCCCAGTGCTCTTTAGAGTTCGCCTCTTTCTTGAGAATGGCTTAATTGAGTGATTTCAATTTTCTTTTTTTGCAATGACAAGCATGTGACTTCAGTAAAAGTGAAGAAATAGGAGCCGTCAAGACTTGATAAAAATTATGACATTACTTATATAATGTTTTGATACTTCAGGCTTCTCTGCTTATTCTAATAAAATAAGAACAGATTAGTTAGTTTTGCATTACTTAGATATATTTAGTTTGTGAGAAACAGTAGTCAAATTTCTGACTATGTAAAGGCACCTTATCTCCTGTTTTTGAAGATGATGAGCAACCATTTCCTTCCCTTAAGCAGCTGATTCTAATACATGTGCTAGATAATAGTTTCAGTTTTTCAATTCAGAAAAGTCATTCATTTATATAGCTTCTTCAGAAGGTGTGTGATCCTGACAGTGGCTCGTTGAAGGGAATAGGTTTAAAGACAGAAATATTCTTTAACAATTAACCTATGCTGCATGTACTGTACCTGTGGTAAAACTGTGAGGAGAGGTAGTTGGGGGAGCAGGGGGAAATTTTGGCAAACAGCAGTCCTTCAAGATAGAGTAACGTTAGGCATGTGCATGTTAACTGTGGGGCAAAAACTGACTTCATCCCTTCCAGATGCTCCTGCTTAGTTCTACAGTAACTGAGTACACTTTACTTGCTTTCATTTGATAACCTTAAAAAGTGCTCCATCTGAGTCTGCTGGGAAGTTCAATGATGTTCTACTTCTGTGCAGAACTTACTGAGAGATATACTTAGAGATACAATATCTTTTTCCTTTGGCAGACATACAAGACTGGGCTTCTTACAGGCCAAGATGATGAAAAAAAAACCCCACAACCCAGAGTACTGTTTTCACACTACCATTCTAAACTTTAACTTTCCCCAGTTTACCCTGATAGAAGTATTTTAAGGCATGACTGTAGTGTCAGGGTAGGTCTGGCCCTTTTCTCTTGCAGAAAAGTATTATGCTGCTCTATGAATGTTGTCAGAATCCAAGCTGCATCACAATAAACTTAAAAGTAACTTCTGTGACTAGGTGATTTAACAACACATGTAAATAATATATGTAAAAACATCTCAAGGTCTGTGCTGAACTGAGCCTTATGGCTTTTTTATTGATATATGTGTGTATGTGTGTAAATATATA